AAGGCTGTGTCCCTATCCCCTCGCTTACTATATAGAGCAGGGACTATAGAGTGAACTTAATTAACTGACCATTCGAATAGATAATCACTAATTTTCACTTCTTGTTAGTTAGTGACCCCGGCACCCCCACATGGTGCCCGCGCCATCTTTGTTCTCTCTCGTCCCCGAAACAAATCATGTGATTCTTTGCGAGGGGAGCTCTTGCAAAGCATTTTGGGATATATCTGCTCCTCTACTAACCATGCTTTCACACTACTTTTCAGGATGCATTGTGGGAAATTTTGTGTCCACTCCTTTTTCATCCACTAGAAACTCGGAAGGTCATATAAAATGGCCTATATAGTGCTCTATACCAGGTTAGGGCGGACGTTCAGACACAGGCTATAGTACCGCTTCTAATATCTATGTCTTACTAATGTATTATTTTTTTATAAACTATTTAATTTATAAACTATTTAATTTTTCTTATGAATTGAACATAAACAGACTTTAAACACATCCCCTACTTGGTTCCGGGTTTCCTAGACTTTAGGAAAAATGAGAAAAGGTTGATTTGATTTTTAGTCATTCAGGGTCTGGAGACAAAGTGATCAAGTAGAAAGAATGTGGTTTCCTTACTTCCTTTTATTTTTTATCAATTCTTATACAGTTTCCTTGCTCTTTTTTTTTTATATATCTCCTTTTTCCATACCCAATCCTATCTTCTCCTGGTTTATCCTTCTTTTTTTATTTTTCTTTGTGTCCTACTTTTCCGTCTGCTTCTTCACTTCATCCTTGTGTCCATCCTCATTTTTTCCTCATGTCTAATCCTTTAACCCTGTGATTTTTTTTTTATTTTATTTTGAAATAAGGAACGACACCAATAAAGATGAGGAAAATGGGCAAAAGCAGGAAAATATACAGACTATATAGGCACCTTTCACCAGGTGGCCTGGTATTTTAAACATGTCGGCTCCAGGCTTAGGAAAGTCGCCCAGAACAAAGTTCTCTTTAGTTAAGATACTAACAGAAGTGTTTGTGATGGACCTGTTCCATTTATTGAAAAGAAAACGTTTTGCTGGAATTGTGAAAGCACCCATA